AGGTCTGGGCTTCTCTGCTTGGGCTGCTGCCCCCGCGACCCGACCCTGGATAAGCGGAAGAAAATGAATTGATGGATGGATATTTAGTCTACAGGCAGATCTTATGGAAACTTCTGCATTTAAGTTAAAATTATCTCCTGTAAACTGAGCAGCACAGCCATCATTAATTTCCATTACCAAGGTACAAGGTGTAGTAGGCCTAGTTGTAGTGTTCCATAACGCTGACCCCTTTGTTTTTTAAATGGCGTGATAGAACTTTTTCAGTGTCCAAACACAAAAGTATATAAAATAATTAATGACCAATATCTACAATACAAAGCTAAAAATAATAATAATAAGAATTTCGTGTTACATGAAAAACTAAAACCACAACTCAACAATGAAGAATAATACTGAATAATGACTTGGTCTCACCGAGCCTTTCTGCAATTCCTCACAACTGGAAAAAGTCTAAGTCGCCCCTCCAATGATGCTTTGTACTTGTTTAGGTCTAACTCATCCAGAACCTCCTCTGACATCTGCAGCATGTAGGCCAGAGCTGAGCAGTGGATCTCAGAGAGTTTCTTTTCTGATCTGTTAGCTGACTTCAAGAATACTTGGATCTCCTGATGTACTGAGAGGTCGTTCATCTCTACCAGACAGTGGAAGATGTTGATACTTCTGTCAGGAGAAATTTCATCACTGTTCATCTCCTTAAGATTGTTAATGACTCTCTGAATGGTTCCTGGACTGCTCTCTGTCTGACCCAGCAGACCTCCTAAGAGTCTCTGGTTGGACTCCAGAGAGAGGCCATGAAGGAAGCGAACAAACAGGTCCAGGTGGCCATTTTTACTCTGAAGGGATTTCTCCATGGCTTGTTTAAGGAAATCATCCAGAGATGACCCACTGTACTTTTCTCCAAGGAAGGCTTCCAGCACCTCTGTCTTCCTGTTGGTGAAACAGTGGAACATGTAGACTGCAGCCAGAAACTCCTGAATGCTCAGATGAACAAAGCAGTAGACTGGTTTCTGGAAGATCACACACTCTCTTTTGAAGATCTCTGTACAAACTCCTGAGTACACTGAGGCCTCCGTGACATCCAGACCACACTGCTCCAGGTCTTCGTGGTAGAACATGATGTTTCCTTTCTCCAGATGTTCAAACGCCAGCCTCCCCAGCTTCAGAAGAACTTCCCTGTCAACCTGCGTCAGTTCTTGTGGACTCGTCTCATGTCCCTCATGGTACTTGTTCTTCTTCCTCTTTGTCTGAACCAGCAGGAAGTGTGAGTACATGTCAGTCAGGGTCTTGGGCAGCTCTCCTCTCTGCTCTGTAGTCAACATGTGCTCCAGAACTGTAGCAGTGATCCAGCA